ACATGATATAAACAGATGATGTTCACTGTTTCTTAGAACATGACTTAGACTTAGCATGATATAAACAGATGATGTTCACTGTTCAGGCTTAGAACATGATATAAACAGATGATGTTCACTGTTCTGGCTTAGAACATGATATAAACAGATGATGTTCACTGTTCTGACTTAGAACATGATATAAACAGATGATGTTCACTGTTCTGACTTAGAGCATGATATAAACAGATGATGTTCACTGTTCTGGCTTAGAACATGATATAAACAGATGATGTTCACTGTTCTGGCTTAGAACATGATATAAACAGATGATGTTCACTGTTCTGACTTAGAACATGATATAAACGGATGATGTTCACTGTTCTGACTTAGAGCATGATATAAACAGATGATGTTCACTGTTTCTTAGGCTTATTCTTGAGGCTCATCAGACATGATATAAACACGTGATATTCCCCCATAAACACATGTCTATGTGTGTTTCTGCAGTTCTGTCCTTCAGATGCTGAAATGAATAAACTTCTGGATGCTACTTTATATTTTACAACTGATCCCATTTGAAGACCTGCTGCTTTTTGTACATGGAGAAACTTGTTTGAAAACATGTATGTTTGTGCTTTCTTAAAACCATTTATCCACATAACTTAAACTCCATTTTCATAAAATCTGTCAGATGCCATTGTATTGAAGTTTATGGTCTGTTTATCAAGTAAGACAACCAACACTACTCATTACATAGTCAAAGTTATATTATCAAATATTTCAGAAGGATGACCTCTACATATTTTCGAGGCAGTGGGGGTAGCCTAGTGGTTAAAGTTTTCACTTGTCACACTGAAGACCCGGGTTCGATTCCCACTTTGGTACAATGTGTGAAGCCATTTCTGGTGTCCCCCACCATGATATTGCTGGAATATTGCTAAAAGTGGCGTAAAACCCAATTCACTCACAAACTCACTCCACATGTTTTATTTTTGTGTCTAAGTCTGGCCATAATGGCTGAACTGATAAAAACAAAGTGCTGTCCAATACTGATCACATAATTCACATGAATGGTTCCATTTCTTCCATGACATATTTTGCATATTGTTGGCAAAAATTTGAATAAATACGAATGCATGTATATATAATTAGTTTGGTAATGTTTTACTATAAATGAAGTTTAGTACACTCATTGATCATGTATGTTAATTGCAGTGGTAGCCTAGCAGATGGTGCTTCTCTGGCTCCTTGTTATCGGTATATTCTTCCTCGATAATCTCTCATACAGTAACCTGGATTACCATAATGTGTTTATATGTACTAGATCAGATGGACAACATCAGTGAGCTACTATCAGGCCATACTATTCATGCAGATGACTTAAAGGAGGAGTCATATAAACCAAGGTTGTTTCAGCCAGTACTTCATATTTGTGTAGATGTGTGTAGAAGTACAACAACATGTACAGAAATACAACAATTTATCTTACCTTCATGTAAATTTCTTTAATTTCATTGGTCAATGACACTTTAACAATTTCCGTGTCGCCCCTTCCAGGAAGGTGACAAGTGGAAAAAATATTACTTGCTGCCACGGTAACCGCCAAACTCTCCACAGAAATTGCTAACAATTGTATGACATCATAATATGACACATGCAGTGCCCGGAGCTGTTTTTGAGTTCACTATGCAAACATTTATTTTACCAACTTTCACTGCTATATTTAAACTATTTTCTATATTGAATCGTTTGCACACTCAACTTAAACTTAATTAACCATTTTTATACATGTTTTAAGTTTGTCAGAATATGTTTCACTGATTTTAAAAATCAAAATTGAGGTGGGCCCCATTTTGTTTACATTTCATATAGTTGGTAGCGAGTTTGTCGATCTCCAAAATAAGATAACATGATATTTTGTACATTCAACATGGCGGTAAGATAAATACGTCGTAAACTTCTCTCGAGGGTAATACGGTCTGATGTATGGATCTTTGTAGCAGTGTCATCCCTCGCCTACTGACTAGGGTAACTGACTGACTGACTGAGTTTGGTTTTACGCCGCTTTTAGCAATATTCCAGCAACATCACGGTGGGGGACACCAGAAATGGGCTTCACACATTGTACCCATGTGGGGATTCGAACCCGGGTCTTCGGCGTGACGAGCCAGCGCGCTTTAACCATTAGACTACCGCACCTCCCTGACTCGGGTAACACTGCTACAAAGAGGCGTACATCAGACCGTATTACCCTCGAGAGAAACATACAAATTATAATGTATAGTAATACAGCAACACAAAGAGAAACACAACATGTACAGTAATGCAACATATGTTCATATTGAATTTATCTAAGGTTAATAATTGAAAATATAACATTTATTGAAAAACACAATATATATATATATATATATATATATATATATACAAATGCAACTGCAACAATACATTAACAAATGTAACAATGTATACACAAATGTAACAATATCTATATAAATGTAACAATATCTATACAAATGCAACAATATCTGGATACAAATGCAACAACTTGTGTACAAATATAACACATACAAATACATAAGTACAACAGCAAACATATTTTTGTAAGTTTATTCTGTTACCATAGTGATAAATTAAAAGTGGCCATGTAATACGAATGAAGCCACGAAGCACCCACACAGTGAGACGTCACAGCCAGGGAAAGAGGTCACTAACGTTGCTACTTGACATGAATTACTGCTGTGGTATTGGGAAGAATTACTTTAAGTGGTAACATAGTGTTAGTTGTGTTGTGATACAGGGAAGCAGTTTCATATCATAAGAACTAGCCATTCCACCGAGGCATTTGAGAATCTGATTATTTCCCCCACAGCAGCGAATGTTGTTAGACATTGATTATGATGATTACAGTAGAAGAAAATATGTCATCAGGATCTTTTTTCACTTCCTGTTTGACAGTTTCCGATTTTGTTTTCATTTTTTTAATGTTGCTAAATAATTTGGAGTAGTTGCACATTATTGGCAGCAAGTGGGACGATGTATACCAGACAAAGACCTTGAGCACCAAATTCTTATTGAGTGTATTGTACAATTCAGTAACATCAACACGGTTTGAACTTTGACCCTGATGTGTCACGTGCTGTCTGTCACGCAAGGCTGGGAGGTCTCATGACATTATTGTTGTGTGGACTTTAGACAAAAACAGTGTACAGGTCACGTTGTTTTTTCTAAGAATGTCAGTGTAAATAATGCTCACAGGAAATCTGTCCCCCTCTATAGTTGTTGGTTGTTTATCGGTGCATGCACTCAGCAATATTCCAGCTGTATGGCAGCTGTCTGTAACAAGTTGAGTCTGGACCAGACAATCCAGTGATTGACATCATCAGTATTGATCTGTGCAGTTGAGTTGAAATTTACAGCAAGCCAGTCCGATGGTCCGGTAAAACTTTTAGATGTTCAATACATCTGAGTAAATTTACCATATTTGGTCTGGTTAAATCCATTTTCGGCTGGTAACATTTTGAAGTTACCAGCCCTGATGTCTGGCTGGATTTTTGGCGTATTTCATACACTGGTTTAAGTTAAGTGGTTTGAGCATTCTGGTGAAAGTTTGGGTACATAAAACATCTGATGAACATGTCAGTAGTTATTCCTGCTATGTCCAAACTGTTTGTGCTCATGTTGTCAGCTTTCTTTCCTATTTAGAGTTTTACAAACCAAATGTGTTCATATGAAGTTTATAGGTATCAAATCAATGGTTGAAAAGCTTTGGATGGAAGATGCAGTACATTTATCTCCAATTCTTGAAGATGACAGCTTTAAAATGCAGGCAGAAAACTTCCGAGATAATAACAACAAGAACAATAATAACCATCAACTATAAATACAATAATAAATGATATTCATATTGATAAAATAATAACCATCAACTATAAATACAATAATAAATGATATTCATATTGATAAAATAATAACCATCAACTATAAATACAATAATAAATGATATTCATATTGATAAAATAATAACCATCAACTATAAATACAATAATAAATTATATTCATATTGATAAAAATAATAAGCTGTGAAATAGAATTCTTCTTCTCAGTCACCTCAACTGAAAAATCAACTTTATTGTGTATATATTTCCAAACAACTACATTTCAATGAAACGTCAAATAAACATGGTATATGATGTAGAAAAATATCAAATTGAAGAAAAAGTAGAATTTCTTCAACAACCCATGCTCATCCCAGGAGGTGCTGATGGGATTGGGTGGTCCAGCTTGCTGACTTGACTAACACATTGTGACGTATACCGTTTGTGTTCATTGATGGCTACGATGTCAGTCACTGAATTGTCTGGCCCAGATTGGAATATTTATAAATTGATGTCATATAGCTGGAATATTGCTAAGTGCAATTGCTATATTGCTAATTGTCTGTCTGACAGTCCCTCAACCACATTATTGCCCCTACTGCCAAGCCCTCCCTGCAGTGCTAAAGTCCTAAATGAAGCAAGTCTAGATTTCCTCAGGTTCTGAATTTCCCATTTGACTGGGTCTCCTTTTCAATTCAAATGGGCTTATTTGTAGCTATCAAAATTATATACCGTATTTTTTGCACTATTACCCGCTCCCGAATGTTACCCGCTCCTGAATGTTACCCGCACCCCAGTTTTGTCCATACCTGAAATTGAAAGTCACGTTTTAAATAGCACATACAACAACTACATTCTCAGGGTATTTTATAACACTTCCTTAAAAAACTCTTGTTTTCCCTGTGTAAAATCCACACGTAACCCGCTCTGGATTATAACCCGCACTGCCATATAGCCCACAGTTTTAGAGGGAAAAAGATGCGGGTAATAGTGCAGAAAATACGGTATATTCAGACACTAAGAGTTAGTCTTCATTGGGAAGTAATCAACAAAATATTACATTTAGACACAGAGGAGAACCAAAGCAAACGAACCTTAGTTTTACAACAGATGTTTTAATGATGAAACTTGTTTTTCCAGCTCGTGCCCAAGTAGTTGAACATTTGCAATCATCTTTGGGGAACCAGTCTCACCGCCAGGGCTACGAGACATGGGCGTGTGCATGGGCTCCCGACTACTCCTACTTTGCCTGGTCGTGTGGAAACCGGATAGTTCAACTCCTACCCTGGAATAGGTCCGCCAACTGCATCCAGTGAGTGTTTCCATGGATACGGTGTTTTATATTGTCTTTCTGAAAGTTTAGGTCTTTGACTCATTTCCGATGTCCGGATGGGTGGGTTATAAAAATAGTATAACTGATTAAACCTCTCTGGGGGCGGTGGGGTAACCTAATAGTTGAAGCGTCCACTCCTCACGCTGAAGACCCAGGTTCGATTCCCCACGTGGGTACAATGTGTAAAGCCCATTTTTGGTGTCCCCCACAGTGATATAGCTGAAATATTGCAAAAAAAGGTGTAAACCATACTCACTCACTCACTAACACCTCTCTGAACAGTATCTCGGCCAACCATGCTGGATACTAGCCATAATAAAGTCGTTGTTAAGATTGTATCTATGGCCTCACTGTCAAAAGTTCGCCTTTCATCATGTCCTGAAGTACCCACAGGTGAAGCAATTAGGTGTTACCTGAGATATCAGGGATTATATCAATGGTGTGCGGAAAATAAGTGCTCGGAAAAAAAGTACCAAAAAAAGTCCTAAATTTGCCTAGAAAAAAAAGTGCTCTGGAAAAAAAAGTCCTATTTTTAAAAAAAGGAATTTTTTCTGGTAGTTTTTAACCAAGGACTTTTTTCTGCGGATGTTTTTTCCTTCAATCATATCAATATTGAGGGTTCATCAACACAGACCGTTCCTTTTGACCATTAAAGACTTTTTTTTTCACTAAGATCACTCTTTACACTTCATATTATACCGGGGCGGTGGGGTAGCCTAGTGGTTAAAGCGTTGGCTCGTCACGCCGAAGACCCGGGGTCGGTTCCCCACATGGGTACAATGTGTGAAGCCCATTTCTGGTGTCCCCCACCGTGATATAGCTGGAATATTGTTAAAAGCGGCGTAAAACTGAACTCACTCACTCACTCATATTATACCGAAAACGTTTGGAAATAGCATCAGTCATGAGAAACTCTCTCTGATATCCTGATTTGTAGAATTTTATCAAATGTTTGTACTGAAATGTATAAAAAAAATCCTGGTTGTTTTGGAACTAGTTTTTACTATGTTGATACATGTACTTGATGCTCTGTATACTTAGTCCCATAAACATTCAACAAAACATGGGGCTGTGAAAGTAAGTAAAATAATATACTTTTTATACTCACGTTTGTCATAATTTGTAAAATATACTGCTGTTATTTTGTTAGGGATGTTTTTATCTTAATATGCCATATGTATGTTTCAACAGAATGACATATCTAATTATCCTTATAAACAGTTGAGTAGTATAGTTATTAATTTGTTGTCGAATGGTGGTGGTCAGTTTGATTAGAAATCTACTAATTAAAGGGCCACCCACCAGGTTCAGACCTTGCCCTCAGTGTGTGGCAGGTGTCGGTCTGCAGGGTCAGTGCCCTCGTCAGTCTCCCAGCCCAGGACCCGGCACTCTGACCAGGTGACAGTTGGTGGCAGCACCAGCAGCTGGTGTACAGCATCAACATCATCACAATATTCATTGTGGTCGGTATACGATACCGTTACTTACTCGAGCTTTCTGGTCAACAACTGCTGCCGCTGAACCTATTTTCTCCACCAGCAGGAGCGGCATGGTAGCCTAGTGGTTAGAGCGGTCGCTCGTCACGCTGAAGACCCAGGTTCATAGCCCCACATTGTGCAATGTGTGAAGCCCATTTCTGGTGTTCCCCGCCGTGATGTTGCTGGAATATTGCTGAAAGCGGTGTAAAACCAAACCCACTTACTCACTCCACGAATATATAATCATGATGTGTAGGGAATTTTGGTTTTTTTCTTGTATGCATAAATGTTTGTATGCCCGGTATGTAAACATTTATATTCCCTATTAACCTGGCATTTATGTTGAACGACACAGAGTTGCGGTTCTAGTTATCATCCAAAATCTTTCTCCCACCTATTTCAGTTTGTAAACAGTAAACACTAGTGTACAGAATTTAACAAGTATACCTAACTAACTAACTTTGATTAGGATCAAGGTTTGATAAACGAATGTTGTTTTCAACAAGTAAGGATTAATACATGTTTGGGTACTCCCTACATGGCCTCAGTGTCATAATGAAGGGCAAGACACAATAAATCAAGTGCAAGAGGAGCTTGAAAGACTGTGTTTGGATATATCGTGACAAAATCGTATCACATCTTTACAAGAAAAGTTAAGAAACATGCTTTGCAACACTTAATGCATTTAAGCCCCATCAGTGTCAGTGACCGAACAGTTTGGCAGTTGTGTAGGCATGCATGAAACTGACTGTCAAAAGATGTGGCCTGATGTCTCATCTCTACTGCGCGCTCTGATCTGATATCTTATCTCTACTGTGCTCTCTGATCTGATATCTCATCTCTACTGCACTCTCTGATCTGATATCTTATCTCTCTGCACTCTCTGATCTGATATCTTATCTCTCTACTGCACTCTCTGATCTGATATCTCATCTCTACTGCACTCTCTGATCTGATATCTTATCTCTACTGCACTCTCTGATCTGATATCTTATCTCTACTGCACTCTCTGATCTGATATCTTATCTCTACTGCACTCTCTGATCTGATATCTTATCTCTACTGCACTCTCTGATCTGATATCTTATCTCTACTGCACTCTCTGATCTGATATCTTATCTCTGCTGCGCTCTCTGATCTGATATCTTATCTCTACTGCACTCTCTGATCTGATATCTTATCTCTACTGCACTCTCTGATCTGATATCTTATCTCTACTGCACTCTCTGATCTGATATCTCATCTCTACTGCACTCTCTGATCTGATATCTCATCTCTACTGCACTCTCTGATCTGATATCTCATCTCTACTGAACTCTCTGATCTGATATCTCATCTCTACTGCACTCTCTGATCTGATATCTTATCTCTACTGCACTCTCTGATCTGATATCTTATCTCTACTGCGCTCTCTGATCTGATATGTTATCTCTACTGCGCTCTCTGATCTGATATCTTATCTCTACTGCACTCTCTGATCTGATATCTGATCTCTACTGTGTCTGTTGTCTGTTTTCTGATGTCTGATGTCTGTTGTCTGTTGTCTGATGTCTGAAGTCTGATGTCTGATTGTTTCTGTTTCTGCAGAGATGACCAGGAATGCCACGAGACTCGACAAACTCTCACAATCGACTGTGGGGAACTTGTGTGGTCAGTTGCGTTTGGGTCCGGGACTTCCAAGACTGACAACGCTCACGTGTGGACGAGGCTTAAACTTGACCACAACCTGATCCTAGCCACTGGTCTGCAGAGTGGCCGGATCAAGCTCTGGAACTGCGGAACAGGTGGGTGGATTTTCACGTGTTTCCATATTTTCATGATTGAAAGTATTTATGGTTTTGTCAAGAAATGGAAATGTTCAGTAGGTGACTGTGGTACTCTCCTGCCTGAGAAATGATTGTGAGGTATTATAGTTGATGTTACTTAGAGTACTGAGTTGCCTCCCTTTGATGTGCCGGAAACCAATGATAATGGGTTTGAATCATAAATTTGTTTGTCAGCACCATACTTATTCTCTTTGGGTGCCATGGTAACATCCCTTCTGGGTTTCTTCCCATATGGAGAGTTCAAAGACGTGTTAAACCAACTCACTCACTCATACAATGTTGGTCCATCTTCATCCTAAATCACCATCGCTCATGTTTGTGTTGAGACACTGACACAGTTCTTTTCTTTTACTCCCAAATATCGGTTCCAGAATCTGAATGTAAGTTTTACTTCAAGATATGAAGTGCTTTTGTAGTTAACCTTTCTTCAGTATTTAGATTTTTGTTGTAAGCATGCATGCCTTTGTGCTGATCACAATAAGCAACAGGTCGCAATATTCCATGTTTTGTTGTTTATTTGTAGGTCTGCTTTTAACATAATATATCCTTGCCTCATTGCTTTCCAAGTTTTTATAACACCTAAAATTAATTTTAGTGACAATTTTTAGAGAGCTTATACGTTGAGGCAGTTTCTTGATAAACTCTAGCAGAACCTGGGCCTCAGCATGGATAATTCTGTCAGTGGCATCTCTAACATTCAAACATGTCCTCCATGGAAGCCATATTGTCATCTGGCCCATTATGCAGCTGTTTCAACATGCATCGTTATGATCTTATGTTACAAATATTCCAGAAAGGTGAAAGGTGAACTACAGAGCCTGTTTTAGTCATGGTATGATTATTACTGTAGGTCAGGACTGGCAGGATGAGTGGTCATCTCCAGTACAGTCAGAACAGGTGGTACAGTGTCTCGGTCAACTTGATTTAAGAGAACTAATTGTGGAGAGCAGTTAAAAATGTTGTACTCACTTTCAACATTAGAATAATGATTCCATTGGACTCATACAAATTCATTATGGCCGCCATCACAGCCATATTGAAAATGTCATGTTCTTATCATTACACATTTCTCACATGTCTCATTATGAAATTTACCTTGGCACAAGCAGTGTTTAAAACTCCCAAAATTCCAAGCTAGACAGCCGGATACAAACTTGCCTGTCCGTTTTTCAACAATCAAAAAACAAACAAAGTCAGGTTAGTCAGGTTACTGTTTGTAGGCATCGCAATGAACAACATAGCACTAACAGGCAATGCACCGAGTTTAGGTAAACTGAAAGTACATGTGTTGTGATTGGTTATCTTAACATGAACTGTCCAATTGTAAGTAGTTTAACATAATCATCATAATACCGTAAACACCTCAAACTGACGACAAGAGAACCTGTCTGATATTATGAAATATTTACTGTTTGGGGTAAAAATATCTACCAGACCACCGGACAGGCTACTTTTGAAATTTGACTGTCCGAGATGAAACAGACCGTTTCGTCAGACCGTTCCGGACGGTCAACCAGGCGGGAATTTTAAATGCTGGCACAAGCGTGTTTGTGGTATAGCATAATTCATTTATTGGCAGATTTTAATTTTGATCAAGCTTTGACTGTTGACCTTTTTTTTATATTATTGCATTTGTGACATCCGCTCATTTTGAGAACTACAAGGACTATTGGGCTGAAACTTTGAAACTTTATGAATGATCAGAGAAAGGGTCTCTAAAAGAGGGCACAGAATATCTTGATGTGACTGCAAACATGGCTCCCATTACTTGAGCTACAACACCTTATTGTAATGTTTCAATCAAATCACTGACAGCTAACCAATCACTGATTGTAGTCAAGATCCCCTACAGTATATATACCTCATACAGAGCTGATGTTTCGGACACATCTCAGCACCTAATCATCACCTAATCATCACCTAATCATCACCCTTATCATTCTGGACCATCTCCCTGGTGTAGTGGTTAGAGCGTCCGCCCAGAGAGCGGAAGGTCGCGGGTTCAATCCCCGACCGCGTCATACCAAAAGACGTTAAAATGTGGTACTTGTTGGTCCCTGCCTGGCGCTCGGCATTAGTGGGTACAACAAGGACTGGTCGGCTTGGAGTCAGTATAATGTGTCTGAGTGGGATATTCATGCTTCACTGCGGCATGGTATCTCAGTGGGCTAGCACTATAAAACCAGCTTAAGTCTGGGCTAGTACAAGCAGCCGCACATACACATACACACGCATGCACGTCATCATATGAGCGAAATATTCTCAAGCACGACGTAAAACCCAATTTCACCTCACCTCACCTTATCATTCTGGTGTATCTGTGTAACAGCAGGTTCTGTTAGTTGGCCTGATTCACTGTGTTTTAATGGGCGGTGGGGTAGCCTAGAGGTTAAAGCGTGGCTCGTCACACTGAAGTCCCGGGTTCTATTCTCCACATTGGCACAATGTGTGAAGCCCAATTCTGGTGTCCCCGCCGTGAATTGCTGGAATATTTCTGAAAACGTTGTAAAACCACACTCTCCAATTTGAGTCGGTACTTTGATTTTATTAACAGTATTTATTTGAAATTTGATTTTATATATCATATTTTCAATTTAACTGAATGATTGTAAAATATATAAGTAAGTTTTCCTTTCGAAAATTCAGACAAATTGTGTTCTTGTTAACTTGACAGCTCTTATGTGAACATGGATTGTCATTACTGAAATAACATTGTACACCAAACAATTTTGTAAACGTATGTTATTTCATTCAAACACATAATTTTGTGTTGTTGATTCTGACAGGGCACCTGCTGCTGGAGTTGCTGGACCACAAGGATGTTGTCCGAGACATGGACTTCGCCCCTGACGGCAGTCTCCACCTCGTGTCCGCGTCACGTGATGGCACGCTCAAGCTGTGGGATCTCAACATGGACGGCAACATGTACCGTACTCTCCGTCCTCAGTGCAAGTGGGTCTACAGTTGTAGCTGGTCACCCAATAAGAAGTTCATCGCCAGCAGCGGGAACTACAAATGTGTAAGTAGAATGCACCTTGTGTCGCTCCCTCCCTCCCCCGCTTCATCACTCACTCACTCACTCACTCACTCACTCACTCACTCACTCACTCACTCACTCACTCACTCACTCACTCACTCACTCACTCACTCACTCACTCACTCACTCACTCACTCACTCACTCACTCACTCACTCACTCACTCACTCACTCACTCACAAGGTACAGACAACACCTCTCCCAACTAACAATATAATTCGGTAGATACACCCCACACCAGATGCGATTCTGGTCGCCTCCCATGAGTACACCCAACACCAGGGACCGCCTCCGTGGTGTAGTGGTTAGAGCGTCGCCTCCGAGAGAGTACACCGGAACCAGATGTGAGTTCGATCCCGACCATGCGTCATACCAATGTGACGTTAAAATATGGTACTTGTTGGTCCCTGTCTGGCGCTCGGCATTAATGGGTACAACAAGGACTGGTCAGCTCGGAGTCAGTATAATGTGTCTGAGTGAGGTATTCATGCTTCACTGCAGTATGGTATCTCAGTGGGCTAGCACTATAAAACCAGCTTAAGTCTGGGCTAGTACAAGCAGCCGCACATACACATACACACGCATGCACGTCGTCATATGAGCGAAATATTCTCAAGCACGACGTTACACCCAATTTCACCTCACCTCACCCAACACCAGATGGCGCAAGTCACTAACATAAATATGTCAGTTTGGTAGTCAAGCGATGAGTTCACTCCAACAAGGTCTATCATGACATGAATTTGAGGTCATGAATTAAGCATCAGCAGAGGTTATGGCAGTATGAGCAAGCTGCCTGGAATATTTCAAATACATCAAGGAAAAATGATCAGATCAATTTTGTACTGGTACATTAATGCATGATAGGTATTAAATATTGATGAAAAAATGACATTAGTTCTGAAGAATATAGATATAGATATAAATGTCATTGCCATTTTTAGTTTTTACGGCTTCTGGCTTACCAATGAAAACCCGTTGTGAGCTACTAAACTGTGGAATATATGCCGATAGACACATTTTGAATAGATATGGCCACACAAATTACAAACCAGACAATTGAAGTCTGCATCGCTGACAACAACCCAGCTCGTATGACATGGAATAAATACATCAGACCGATGACTACAATGTGCCATGTTCTTGGTATGATGCTATCTTTAGGAGAATTTTCTTTTTGTAATTTGTGTGGCTATTTCATATTTAACCCGTGAAGATGCGGGTTGGAATCGGTCTTCAGCAGCCCACTTTTGTCTTCATGAAGGTCCAGGTTAGAATTGGTAGCAGCCTATCCTTGTCGTAAGAGGTGACTAACGGGATCGGGTGGTGAGCCTTGCTGACTTGCTTTACACATGTCATTGTATCCCAATTGCGTAGATCGATGCTCATGCTGTTGATCACTGGATTGTATGGTCCAGACTGCTGCCATATAGCTGGAATATTGCTCAGCACTGCTTTAAACAACAACCAACCAACCAGCAAATGGGTTCGATACATAACAGTAAACTAACAAACAATTCAAAATCATTTCATATTTAAGGAGTGTATATATTCCATGATTTCTAAGCGGGTTTGTTTGGTAGCCGAGAGACTTTGTGAATCTTGAAAGTCGTTGTCAGCGCTGGTACAATCTACTCTTTGTCACATGAGAAGTAGATGACAGGTTTGTAGACCTAATTTGGTATTAACCTTTAACCAAGTGTATGTTTGGATATTTTTCAAGTCTACCCTAAGGTAATAACATATTGGTGCATTGAAGACCTGCTGTATCATATGTCAGTGGGAATGAATAGGAAGCTCAAAAACATTGATCAAAAGATTTGTTGTTAGGTAGGCAGTATATGTTTCATGCTGAGTTTCGACATGTGAAAGCTGGCCTGAGTGGCTCCTTCAAGTGTTTGATGACAGAGAAGGGGTTAAGGTCATCCAACTAACAATAAGCTTACAAATATTTACACTGTACTGGAAGACAATTTTATTTGTTCAGTAATAATGTTATAATAAGTGTATTTGCTATGCGCTATTTTCTATCCATTGTGGTTGTTCAAAGTGTGGAATAACAATCTGATTATTATTACCCCGGATAACTCAAGCTGCCTGTGAGGTGCGAGAAGGTTGACTTATCACATGACTTATCCCACAGGGTACCCATTTCCTGCTGGTGAACAGAGGCACTATTTAGGAGGAATTAACTTGAAATGAAAAATGAGAACATTTATGTGTATATTTAGCCCAAACAATTTGACCTCAGTAATCTAATATTTAACAACAATGCCCTCTTTATCACATGAGATAACAGACATGCCTTTGACCAGGTCGAAGATAATTCCTGGAAAGGAGACACACCTTTTTACTTTTTTGACCAAGTTTTTGTGAAAATATGAAAAATATATGTCAAATAAGTATAAATGTTAATATGACATTACATAGCTTGACTGAAATAATGCTTGTTATGAAAATAGGTTCTACTTTTGTACCGAGTAAATTTTGGTAAATTATATAAAGAGTTCGGTTTTAAGACACTTTCAAAGATGCTTTAAAGATTTTTTCAAATTTGTGAAAGACAAAAGCTTAATTACTCTAATGTATATTTTTGTTTTGATTGAAATGTTTAATTATTATGCATATTCTGAAATTAAATATATCTATGTAATTGCTGAAAGGTTCCATTAAATTTTTGTATATGTAAGACTCAGAAGACAACTTCATGGACACAAGTCTGATAAACATCTTCGGTAGAGGAATATGATATGTGACATACATAGACTCGTGACCTATATATACATGTATCTGAAGCAGTTAGCGGAGACCTCATGGATGATGCTGACAATGAAAGCATTGTTTTATGTGAGCATCAGTTTGACTGCGTGTGGTCTTTATCAATATCTCAGTAGTGTAGTTGTTTGGTTTCTTGAGTAATACCTTCTGCTATCTTTAAATGTTACATGTTAGAGTGAGTGAGTGAGTGAGTTTAGTTTTACGCTGCTTTTAGCAATATTCCAGCAATATCACGGCATGGGACACCAGAAATGGGCTTCACACATTGTACCCATGTTGGGAATCGAACCCGGGTCTTCGGCATGATGAGCGAACGCTTTAACCACTAGACTAACGCACTGATCCGTTGCATGTTAGAAATTTGATATGTTTCTGTATTTGATTCTTTCAATAAATTTTAACAATGTCAAGATGGGAAGGAGACATTGTTGGTCTGTGGTGTCGATGTTCCTGACAAATGTCGCACCTTAACCGAGTGAGTGAGTTTAGTTTTTTAGCTGCTTTTTGCTGAACACAGTGCAATTTTTTTCAACAAAACTTTGTACAAGCATTGCACATGATCTTAACTGATGCCTTTTGCTGTTTTAGAATTTTATTTAAAGAATTGCCTTTTTAAGATGTCATGGGAACGTATATGTGTGATACACATTCGGGGAGAATTCATTGATGTCACTACCCGTGAAGGTCCGGGTTAGAATGAACCTTCAGTAACCCATGCTTGTCGTAAGAGGCGACTAACGGGATCTGGTGGTCAGACTCGCTGACTTGGTTGATACATGTCATCGGGTTCCAATTGTGCAGATCGACGCTCATGCTGTTGATCACTGGATTGTCTGGTCCAGACTTGATTATTTACAGACCGCCGCCATATAGCTGGAATATTGCTGAGTGCGGCGTAAAACTAAACTCACTCACTCACTCATTGATGTCAGCTTCTTTATCATGTGGAACTCAGTGCTTAAGACCATGACAGACCACGTTTTACTCCTGGAATGGCTAAGTGTATGCCTCGAAACGTAAAGGGGCAACAAAATAGCACTCCATATTTCAAATTCGGTCCATTCTCACATACTTGTTGGTAGGTGCTGCTGTCAGACTGTTATTTAGATGGCATGGGGTCATCACAGTCTGTACTACCATGTTTGGTTTCAGTCAAGTGCAGCCCAAAAATATGATATTTCCTTCAATGAATTCAGTATTTAAGGAACCAAATAGTGATAACATCTGAACCACTTGATGATAACATATCGGTGAAAGAAGTGCCAGTGTCAAGCGATAACATATCTTGTTGTAGAAAATAGAAAATGTACTTGCTTAAAAATCAATTTGCAGTCAGTTTGGTTTGATGTGGCTTTGAACGGTATTCCAGTTTCATCAGACGCATCAACTTGCGGTGCCAGTAGGGGCGGACCATGTCTCACACAAATACTTGCCTGAAACACAAGAACACAGTACACTGAACAAACCAAGAAACATTATTACCTGTACCTGTGATATCAACCCACAATTCGGGATCCGGTGATCAGCCTCGCTGACTTGGTTGGCACATGTCATCGGTTCCCAATTGCGCAGGTTGATGCTCATGCTGTTGATCACTTGGTTGTCACTTGATTATTTACAGACCGCCGATATATAACTGGAATATTGCTGAGTGTGGCGTAAAACTAAACTCACTCACTCACTCAACCCATAATCATAGGTTCCTGGAATGCCAAAGGGAGATAATTCTCCATAGTGAGATGACATAAATGACTCGTCATCGTATCTGTAAACTTGCAGCATGTCTCCTCATGGACTTCCTTCCGGCCTTGCGGCATAAATCTAAACTCACTCACTTACTCACTCCTCGCTGCAGGTTGTGTTGTGGGACGTGGAGGATCCCTACGACATGAAGGTGCTGCGCAAACTGGAGGGACACTACCATGATGTCGTCTGCTGTGAGTTCTCCCCCGACAGTGCCCTCCTCGCCACTGCGTCCTACGACACCCGGGTCATTGTCTGGGACCCCTATACTGGGGACTCGCTCCGAGAATTCGGGTAAGACACAGTTATATACAGTCCTGATGTATATACGCCATTGCTGTGTTCTGATAACATTTTCTCTGTTTTATATGCATCATTTATATTGAGAACTGGTTACTTGTAGTTTATGACGCATAGTCAAGTTGTCATGGTTTTGTATTATCCATAGTGGAAATACTATCATGATATCTGTTACCTGCCTAAGGAGAAATTCAGGCTGGAACACAAATGGGTAATCCAAACAAAGTTATGGCTAAAATAAATTCCATTGATGGATCTTGAAAAGAATCGGTTTTGGGCAGTACTTGATGCTAATGATGGACACGTAGTGGTTGATATGACCTTGACCTTTGTCATTTTCTGTTGAATGTCCTTTTTGCAGTTTGTCATCAATTGATGTCATTGATGTGTTCCATTCCCACACCAAATATCTCATAATGTGTTGCTTTGTGTGTGTGTTTTTTTAAGAGAATCTTGGTAAATGCTTTGAGTGAGTTTACTGCTCTGTTTGCAGACATTTGTTCCCTCCCCCGAGGCCGATCTATGCTGGCGGCGCCAATGACCACTATGTCCGAAGTGTCTCCCTAGCCGGTGATGGCGGTCACATCGCTTCTGTCTCAGATGATGGGTATGAGAAAATCTATACGAATTTGTAAAAAAAATCTATGTAAGATGTTTGATAATCATGTTCAGAACACCATAGTGGGTACAGAGGTCATATTTCCTCATCAGTTTGACTACCTAAAGTGTCCTGGTTGACTGAAGGGAGTTGACTGATGGGGGTTGCCTAAAGGGGGTTTACTCATGGGGGTTGACTCATGGGGGGTTCACTGAAGGGTTCGACTGATGAGGGAGGATTGACTGAAGGGGGTCGACTGAAGGGGTCAACTGATGGGGGTCGACTGATCGGGGTTGACTGAAGGGTCAACTGATGGGGGTTGACTGAAGGGGTCAACTGATGGGGGTTCGACTGATAGGGGTTGACTGAAGGTTCGACTGATGGGGGTTGACTGAAGAAGTCGACTGAAGGGGTCGACTGATAGGGGTTGACTGAAGGGTTGTCTGATGGTGGTTGACTGAAGGGTTCGACTGATGGGGGTCGACTGATGGGGGTTGACTGAAGGGTTCGACTGATGGGGGTTGACTGAAGGGTTCGACTGATGGGGGTCGACTGATAGGGGTTGACTGAAGGTTCGACTGATGGGGGTTGACTGAAGGGGGTCGACTGATAGGGGTTGACTGTATATATGGACTGTGGTAACCATGGTTACAAACCAATTTGATATCAAACAAACTGATATCATCTGGAGCTGTTGAACATAACTACCTGTAGTACCAGTAAGGGAAAGCCAGACAAGAAGAGAGCTAGGCCTCCTTCCATTATGTTATTTTGGTCTGTGATAGCCATACCTCCCATTGACTAATGCACCTCACACATCTTAGGCCTGTCTTTTTTAGTTCTTGAAAATTGCTTTAAGGAATTTTTTTTAAATTGTGAAAATATATTGTTTTAATAAAGAAGTGAAATATAGCCAGTAGGATGACAGTTTTACAACTTGAACAGCAAACCATTGTAAACCCAACACATCAACTATGCCATTGTGTAACCAATGGTAACAGGTACTACAGACACTTCTTGAACACCATGTACATTACAGCTCTTATGGGGCGGCCCATTTCTTGTGTCCCACGCCATGATATTGCTGGAATATTGCTAAAAGTGGCATAAAACCATACTCACTCACTAAAGATGGGGCTGTGGGAACCAGGCGATAGCTTCAACACTGCCGTTATTACCCCTGAGGTTTTACAGTAAGTTGTGATAAGGTGTAAGTAAGTTATACATAACGGTTGAAAGATCCGATCTCATGAGTGCTGGATTTGTTGCAGGTATGTGAGATTCTGGGACCTCCACACTCTGGGTGATCCCCCCGTGATCAGCGAGAACACCAACGCCCTCTGTTGTGCATACAGTCCCGGTGGTGCCGTCCTTGCAGTGGGGTAGGCATGATAATTCGTCACCTAAACACTGTCATCCATTTGTCCACTGAAGACAGCTTGTTTGTAGCTCACCTCGACACTGTCATCCGTTTGTCCACTGAAGACAGTTTGTTTGTAGCTCACCTCGACACTGTCATCCGGTTGTCCACTGAAGACAGCTTGTTTGTAGCTCACCTCGACACTGTCATCCGGTTGTCCACTGAAGACAGCTTGTTTGTAGCACACCTTGACACTGTCATCCGGTTGTCCACTGAAGACAGCTTGTTTGTAGCTCACCTCGACACTGTCATCCGGTTGTCCACTGAAGACAGCTTGTTTGTAGCTCACCTCGACACTGTCATCCGGTTGTCCACTGAAGACAGCTTGTTTGTAGCACACCTTGACACTGTCATCCGGTTGTCCTCTGAAGACAGCTTGTTTGTAGCACACCTTGACACTGTCATCCGGTTGTCCTCTGAAGACAGCTTGTTTGTAGCTCTCCTTCACTCAGTTGATTCTGATGGTTTTTCATCATATTCCATCTAAATGTATGTAAACAATGACAAACAAGGACAGGTTGCTGGAGTCCCCACTGAGTGATAGATAAGTGTTGTATCAAAACATACTCAGGCCAGACCAATTTTATTTCTTATTTTACAGATCCGCTGGTCGTATTTTTTCAAGAATAAGAAAGATATAAAAATGAATTATTTTATTGGCCAAAAAAATGGCCAAAAATGTAACCTTACAAGAAAACTTTTTTAGATTGTTTATGACTTTGCTAAGTGTTTTGTTGTTTCTTTCAGAGCAGATACATGTATCATTTCATCAATCAGTCCACATAATCAATGGCTCATTCCAGGCTCTAAAGAAATTATCAAAACATACAGTTCTCTACACCGCTACTTCACAGGACCCTTATATTGCCATTAGGGACAGTTAAAAGTAATAATTAGGGGTCTCTGGGACCCCCATGTTTGTCAGTCGAGATGAAACCCTGTGCTAAGCTTCTATCTCTCTATTTATCAGTTGAGATAAAACCCTTTGCTAAGCTTCTATCTCTCTATTTATCAGCCGAGATAAAACCCTATGCTAAGCTTCTATCTCTCTATTTATCAGCCGAGATAAAACCCTGTGCTAAGCTTCTATCTCTCTATTTATCAGTTGAGATAAAACCCTGTGCTAAGCTTCTATCTCTCTATTTATCAGTTGAGATAAAACCCTGTGCTAAGCTTCTATCTCTCTATTTATCAGCCGAGATAAAACCCTGTGCTAAGCTTCTATATCTCTATTTATCAGTTGAGATAAAACCCTGTGCTAAGCTTCTATTTCTCTATTTATCAGCCTAGATAAAACCCTGTGCTAAGCTTCTATCTCTCTATTTATCAGCCGAGATAAAACCCTGTGCTAAGCTTCTATCTCTCTATTTATCAGTTGAGATAAAACCCTGTGCTAAGCTTCTATCTCTCTATTTATCAGGACACGCAACGGCGAAGTTACGTTCTACAGAAGTGATCGGGAGGTCACAAGTTTACTGCATCTCACAAGAATGAAAATCAGGAAAAATCTGCCCACACCCAAGATAGACCATCTCTCCATCCCCATCAAGTTGAAGGAGTTCCTCAAATATCACGATGTGTAGGACTTTGCATTGTGGGAAGACTAGTATTCTGTGAGGAACCATCATGTTGCACCACAAGTCATGTGACAATATCTTGGAGATATTTAAATTATGGAATCACATCTCGCTGGATCAAGGAATATCTCACTCACTCATTCATATCCTCAGTGACCAGGACGTTGACTTGGACCAACCATTGGATGTTCGGGGGAGTAATTGTTTACAGATTATTTCTTGTCTAGGTTGGAAATTTCCATTATCACATTTCAGGAAAGACAAATGCTGTTTTGACATCTATAGCATGAAACAGTATTGATTGGATTTGGGTAGCACTTTATGGATCCGAAAATGGAGCTGGATACATGTGTATTTGTTATCCTGTTTTCAACTGATTGGTTTGTGGTTGATCCTTGCGTTTGGTCTTCATTGTCTTGCGTCCGTTATTTTGTATGAGGTGGCGTGCTGGGTGGTGTGCTAGAGTGGCGTGCTTGGTGGTGTGCAAGGGTGGCGTGCTGGGTGGTATGCAAGGGTGGTGTGCAAGGGTGACGTGCTGGGTGGTGTGCAAGGGTGACGTGCTGGGTGGCGTGCAAGGTTGGCGTGCTTGGTGGTGTGCAAGGGTGGCGTGCTGGGTGGTATGCAAGGGTGGTGTGCAAGGGTGACGTGCTGGGTGGTGTGCAAGGGTGGTGTGCAAGGGTGGTGTGCAAGTGTGACGTGCTGGGTGTTGTGCAAGGGTGACGTGCTGGGTGGTATGCAAGGAGGGCATGCTAGGTGTTGTGCAAGGGTGATGTGCTGGGTGTTGTGCAAGGGTGGTGTGCAAGGGTGATATGCTGGGTGGTGTGCATGGGTGACGTGCTGGGTGGTGTGCAAGGAGGGCATGCTAGGTGTTGTGCAAGGGTGGCTTGCTGGGTGGTATGCAAGGAGGGCATGCTAGGTGTTGTGCAAGGGTGATGTGCTGGGTGGTGTGCATGGGTGGCGTGCTGGGTGGTGTGCAAGGAGGGCATGCTAGGTGTTGTGCAAGGGTGATGTGCTGGGTGGTGTGCATGGGTGGCGTGCTGGGTGGTGTGCAAGGAGGGCATGCTAGGTGTTGTGCAAGGGTGGCCTGCTGGGTGGTGTGCAAGGCTGATGTGCTGGGTGGTGTGCAAGGGTGGCGTGCTGGGTGGTGTGCAAGGGTGATGTGCTGGGTGGTGTGCAAGGGTGATGTGCTGGGTGGTGTGCAAGGGTGGCATGCTGGGTGGTGTGCAAGGAGGGCATGCTAGGTGTTGTGCAAGGGTGATGTGCTGGGTGTTGTGAAAGGGTGGCCTGCTGGGTGGTGTGCAAGGGTGATGTGCTGGGTGGTGTGCAAGGGTGGCGTGCTAGGTGGTGTGCAAGGGTGGCGTGCTGAGTGGTGTGCAAGGGTGGCGTGCTGGATTGTGTGATGACTTGGGTGTCCTGAAGGCTGTGTTCCAGCAGTTCCCATCTACCTGGTCGTCATGGTAACCTTCAGGTTAAAGCATGTGCTGGTCACTCCGAAGACCAGGGCTCAATTCCCCACTAGGGTACCATGTATGAAGCCCAGCACCATGAGTGTTGCTAAACTCGGTGTAAACCATACTCATTCCCATCTACCCCGTACAACCTTTACTGGGTTATGCCACGTTGTTGTTGTAACGGTTTAAGCAACTTTTCTGTTCAATACTCAATTAATATAAAAATAGAAATACGTCGGTTTCAACCCTTGTTTACTAGATTTGGATCATGGGATTGTCTGTTTCACATAAAACATTATTGCTACCATTATTTATAGTTACCATGTATTAGTATATACAGCACCATGTAGATGTAGTTACTTCTGTCATGGCAGTTAGTGATCTTTATAAAGGGTTGCAATTAGGGCCTGGAATTGCTTTGAATGTCACAATTGATGATTGGTTCATTACATTCGATCAATCATCGGAAATAATTGGATAGCGTTGTTTTTAACATCTTCCTTGATGTGCTTGTTAATGCACACAAAAAATGTCACTTTTTGTTTACAATGCTCAAGTATATTTTCATAATTCAAGTTCAAACTGATGCTTGAAGAAGCCAAAGATTTGCCCTGTTACCTCGGTAACCTGCACACAAGAGTAAGATTTGTCCCTGGGGTACCTAACCCACCTGCTTTAATGTTGCTGCTAGAATAGATTGCAATTTGTTAAACATCTCGTAGTTTTGTTTGTAAGATCTTACTTATGACTAGTTTCAACTTTCACTGATTTAAAAGAGAAAAAAAAAGATTGGTGGTTTGGGTAAAGACTTTTCCAGTTGTTATTTCTTGAAATAGAAAATATTATCCTGTTTGAGATTTTTTAAAGGTTATTTAGATAGTGTAAATAATGGAAAAGACTTTTTGTAATGATTCTTGTGTTGAATTTTATTTTGATAAATTTGGTATGGTATACTAGGTATAAAAATCAAACGAAACCCAAAGGTATTTTTATCCTCTTTGAGAGGCATTTTAGAAGTTGTATAGATGAAGGAAAAGCAAGTTCTATGGATAGTCAACTTCTTTATTGCAATGAGTGCGACGTTTCAGTGTAAGCACTAACACCGTTATCACGCAAGTGATGCATTGACAACAGTGTTAGTACCTATACTGAAACGTCACACTCATTGCAATAAAGAAGTTGACTATCCATAGAACTTGCTTTTCCTGTATTACATGTATTATGATGATTATGGTACTGGATATTCTCCTGTGACTTACTACCTTGACCATAATGACATTGATGGCAAGGATGTCACTTATGTCACATATATTACCTTGTACGTGGGTTGTGGTGCCGTGTGCTTTAATAAGATGGCCATTCCACAAGATGGCAGTAATTGTACAGCCTGGAAGGTATATTTTGAAGTTATTTTACTCATCTAATGAGTATAATTGTGATAATCATGTACTTTGAGTATTTATGTTGTAAGGCAGAAATACCTGATCTTGTAAATGTATTTTGAGCTGAGAATTGGCTCTAATTCTGCTGATATGGACATTGTCTAGCTGAACCTGTTGACCAGCGTATACTCCCTACTGCTGGTCAAGACAGACTATGTCGAGACAGATGCTCGGATGCTGGACACAAGTGAATTTAAGATGAAAGAAAAGATTACAATCACAATCAGTTTATTATCCAAATTCAGTAGACCTCTTGTGGTGTATGACAAAAACACATTTCCCAATAATTTGTGAAAAGAACAAAACATGTTGCCTGACAATTTGTACTCCAGAAACATATGAAGATCCAATTAACGTTAGAACGGATCTTCAGTAACCCGTGCTTGTCGTAAGAGGCGACTAACGGGATCAGGTGGTCAGGTTCGCTGACTTGGTTGACACATGTCATCGGTTCCCAATTATGCAGATCGATGCTCATGTTGTTGATCACTGGATTGTTTGGTGTAGACTCGATTATTTATGGACCGCTGCCATATAGCTGGAATATTGCTGTGTGCGACGTAAAACTAAACTCGCTCACTCACTTTTTTTAGAGGTTCATGGAGTTCATGGTCGTCCTCCATGTAAACTAGACTCTGTTACATGTTACAGCGATTCAGAGAGACATGTTGATTCAGAGAGACATGTTACAGCGATTCAGAGAGACATGTTACAGCGATTCAGAGAGACATGTTACAGCGATTCAGAGAGACATGCAGCCAAGCAATATAAATATCATGAAAAAAGATGAAAACAACAATTAATCTTGCCAGGTTTAGTAACGTTTAGTAAAATGTACAGCTGGTCAAAGAAAAAGATATATTTTTTGTACACTAATACCTTAGCATCATGTGCTTAAATGTGATCTTACAAAAAAACAGTTACATTAACCATTTCTTCATTTTTGTTTCATTTCTATATTTATTTTATGCCTAAATTGAACTTTAAATAATATTTATAATAACTTGTGTTGAAATATATTCATCACCTGTACAAATGCTCAGTTTGATGTGGTTTATACATTTGTTCTGATATCATGATATCACCTGCTTGTGTTTGGTCATGTGAAGGTCATGGGAGATTAGAGTTGATCGTGGGGGACTTATCAACATGGGAACAACGGATGTGACAATCCTAATAAACAGGCTTTTGTTGTTGTAGATTTTGAATGTGCTATCTTGGATTTGATACCTGTGTTTAGAATTACATAGAATCACACAACTTATAGTTCTTCTAAATGATATCTGAAAATGCTATTCCTCTCATTTCTTCACAAAAGCTGATGAAATTGAAAGTATAAATATGGTAACCATAGATTCCAGGTTTTGACTTACCATTACTTGCAAATTTTCCTTTAATTAATACATCACAGCCAGTATCTGGTCGAGTAGAAGAACGTGGGAGATTAGGATAGAGATTAGAGTTGATCATGAGGGACATATCAACATAGAAACAATGGACATGACTATCCTATGAAAATAGGAGACAGGCTTTTGAATATGTTATCTGATATCTGAAAATGCTACTCCTTTCATGTCTTTAGGGGCGGTGGGGTAGCCTAGTGGTTAAAGCGTTGACTCGTCACGTCGAAGACCCGGGTTCGAATCCCCACATGGGTACATTGTGTGAAGCCCATTTTTTCTGGTGTCCCCGCCGTGATGTTGCTGGAATATTGCTAAAAGCGGCGTAAAACCAAACTCAGTCAGTCAGTCATGTCTTTAAATATACTGCTGAGACGGAATATATAAATATGGTTTCCAGGTTTCTTCCTAATGTTCCTGTAATCGCGTGTCATCTCTCGTATAATGGATGCCATGAAGAATGTCAGTGTTCAATAAAATGTACTTATACACTCCAAGGACAGTTGTACTTTTTGAGCATATTACATATTTACTCATAACTAATTCCTCCATCCCCATAAGCCATTAGTATAGAGACGGGGAGACAGCCAAAACATTCAGAATCCATTAAATTATTAATTCACATGTCCATGAATAGTTATTGATGCAACAGTTATTTATACTACCCATGAAACGTTTAGACTCACTTAAAGCACTCACTATATGTTATGTATATTTATATGGTTACATCGAAGATGAATTTCTCCACTAACTTGGGGGAACCAACTGCAAACTTTATGCAGATGAATTGCACAAGGATCAATCATCAAATTGCTGAAATGCATGTGTAAATATCGTGCATGTGAACAGCTGCGCTTTGGTGTAAAGTTTTGTTAAGAATTCGCCAATTTTCACTGAGTTTCATCATTTATTGAACTCATGACAATAATCTTTTCAACGTTATGAATTTGTTTTACAATACATCAGTTCATGTGTAAACAGTACCTTTAAACAGTATGGAACATTTTGCAAAATCTGGTGTAGAACAGTTGACTTAAGTAAGTGGCTATATTTGCACTAGTGTGTCTAAACTTATGCTGGGTAGTATATGTTGACATGCACATGTTGTGTGACCCAGATAGCAGTGTTGGTGTGTATTACCTGTGATTATCTGTGTGGAATACAGGCAGGTAGTGCATGGGTCTCCAGTGATATGTATAAGTGAAGAGTTTTATCAGATATAGCTGCTTTTTCTGGGTCAGTGGAGCTCTAAAACAATAAACAAGTCTACAAATTGGTTCAAGTACACTTTCCTGCTATCAGAGAGGGAATAAGGGTTGACGATATCTACACTACTTCCAGGGCACACTATGTAATTTTAGGGCCCAGAACAAGTATATGCAGGGAGCTTCACAAATACTACACGATAATGAAAACAATGCTACAGGGCCAAGATTATTTATGCTCTCTTTGTGCTAAGATAGTCATAAGTACCATACATTAACTTATGACTATCTTAGCGCTAAGAGAGCTATGAAAATCTAGGCCCAGGGCCTATTTATGGATTGTAATGGCCACCCTTGGCCTCGTGGGTAAAGTGTTTGTGACTCATGGTTTCAATTTTTGCATAGCATTGCACTAGTTTCTATCACCGTGGTAACTTGAAACTATTTAAATAATAAACATGTTTCTTTATCTCAGTTTTGATGGTAGGAACTTTGGTTATCTATTCAGTGAAAGTCGTGTTCCGGAGATTGTCTGTGTACATACGTAACCAATAAATGTGTCTGTATCATAAAACACACTTCCAGGGAGACTCAGGATTTTACATGCTTGTGACGCTGAAGGCGTCGTTGTAGGCACAGGTACTACAGATATGTACCCAGGTATGTTTCTGTATGCATGTATGTAACCTAAACAAAGTCAAAATACAGAAACGTCCCCGGTACCCCAAACGTCAGACGAGGCCCTAAACTGAAACAGTTTGTAGTTGTTCCTGTTCAGCTGAGTGCGAGTGGTATTATGAATCACAAAATATTTGTTACTGTGTTTGCTTGTTACTTATATAACGAAGTCAAATGCATTTAACACAGCAGTATCAGTTCCGATCAAGAAAAACGGCACAATGCGAAATGGACCCGTTCTAGGGTATGTTTCTGTATTCTGAACTTGGCTAGGGTATGTTTCTGTGTACAGAACTTGGCTAGGGTATGTTTCTGTGTACAGAACTTGGCTAGGGTTTGTTTCTGTGTACAGAACTTGGCTAGGGTATGTTTCTGTGTACAGAACTTGGCTAGGGTATGTTTCTGTGTACAGAACTTGGCTAGGGTATGTTTCTGTGTACAGAACTTGGCTTGGATATGTTTCTGTATACAGAACTTGGCTAGGGTATGTTTCTGTGTACAGAACTTGGCTTGGATATGTTTCTGTATACAGAAACTAAACTCGCTCGCTCACTCACTCACTCACTCGCTCACTTATAAAACTATCTCTTGGTTTGCGTCATGAGTGTTTCTTCATTATGATGATAGGTATACCTGTACATCCTATTGCTGGAAGTTGAAACCAGATTTGTCACTGGGCATCATCAGATGTTGTCAACTGAAGTAGTAAAAGCATATTGTGAAGATATCATCATTTGTCATCTTATCATTATTCTAATGAGTTAATTCAAACAGTATTCAAAGTGCTACAACCTCACAGGAGATTACTGGTATCCGCATGGTCGGTCATGCATGGCTTTGTAGTGTATTTAGTAATAAAAATAGTTTTTACAAATTTCAATTTGCCTGTAATCAGCCTGTCATGAAGTTGGAAGTAGTGAATCAGGAAGCCTGTTCATCCCCAGTGTAGGTCAGTGTGTGTTTCACATTTATTTCACATAACTTTGAGACATTATCAGCTGTAATATGTCCAACCACAGACACCTTTCCCTGTGACTTATCTAAGTTTCTGTACGGTCTGTCTTCAACCACAG